AGCCTTGGATGTGAGACCTGGGTGCAAACCCCAGCTCAGCAGGCAGCCTTCTACAGAAAGTTACTAGCTCTCTGCTTGATCACCCTCAAAACCTTGTTGCAAGGATAACAGAAGAGCAACATGTACTAGACGAAGGGAGAGGCGCATGTCTGAAACACTGAAGAGCCTCTGCCAGTCAATTTAAATAATACTGAGCGAGATGCACCAAGGGTCTCAGTATAAGGCAGCTTCCTCCATTCCAACCACAATACGTTCCAAGTAGTAAAAATGGAATACAAATAGTTAAACATTTTGTACGCACACACACACAACCCTTTCAAGCACTACACACCAAGGGTTGGATCCAGGCTTAGTCACCGAATTCAGTAAAGTTTAAGTTAGTAATGACTTAACATTATCAATGTAAAAGCATCAGTATAGTTTAATGCATGGGGAGGGTAGCTCAGGCCCAGCAGCCAAATGCAGCCTTCCAGACTTGGCTATCTGGCCCTCTGATCTATTCCCCAATCCAGACCCTTCACTCAACCTGCTTCTCACTACAAACGTTTCTGCCTGGATTTCGGGCTTTCAAATTTTAGTAGCGCCCTGTGAGGTGCCAAAATTTGGTGCATATCCCCGCCACTCAACTTCATTCTACTTAATGGTTGTGGCATCCCTCACAGTGCCCTCTCAGCCCGGTGCCAGTGCAGGCAAACCTGCTCCCCTAAATCTGCCTCTGCAAGATGGGATGTGCTTTTGAACTGCTTGTCTGGATGGAAGATACGGAGGGGTGTGCGACTAGCCTACTGTGCAAAGGTAATATCTGCATTTCAGCCCACATTTGCCTCTGGCTTTGCTCATCATTGCCATGTAGCCCAGAAAGGAACGTGACCCCTTTAGCTGCTGATAAAGGTTTCCCACCCCTGCCTTTAAGACATATTTACCATTTACCAAGGCAACACTAACTGCAGCAACGCAAAGGGTGCTCCAAAGACACTTTTAATTGTGGAGGGGAACCTACAAAAACTAACCACATGCAGACCTACGCAGCTCCTCACTTAGGGGCCGTTTTAGGCAGCATTAAATTTTAGTCTAAGGAAGGAATAGCAATAAGCTGGTTGCAGAAGGAGCGTGGCTGTTAAAAACAACAACACTGCAGTGACTAAAGAAATTGCCAGTGTCAGCTGGTGTGTTAAGGAGTCGCCCAAAGGAGCTTATGGGAAAGGGTGGGGAGTATGCCAAAAATAAAAATTAAGCAAGACCCATCCAGGAAGTTTTCCCCTCGCTTAGGGCTGATAACACTGGCCTACCTTGCAGGGCTGCTCAGCGTAACAAGAAGCTTAATGGAGGCCAAGCATTCCGAGCACCGTAAAGCGAACCGTTACTGGCAATGACTGCCGTGAGCGGCAGGCGTTGGAATAAACAGGCAAACGGGAGCCCCCTCCATTCTCTGACCCTCCCCGGCGAGACAGAGGAGCGCGAGAGAGCGGGCCCCTCCTGGCCCCTCCAGAGAAGCCGGCGCCGCCGGAGCCCCTTTCGCAGCAGCCCCGCCTGGAGTGGCGTTGCCTTACCAACGGCCTGGCGTAGGCGGCCCGGCGCGCGGCACAGCCCGGAAGTTATGCGGGGAATGCATTGGAGAGGGGACAGGAAGTGCCGGGGAACTGAGGTAAGGGAAGTGAGGTAAGGGAACCAAAGTTTTTTTGCTATCTTCCGAAAAAAAGGGGCTTCTTTTTTTGCGCTTCCCAGTATTTGAGGATTATTATCTCTTCGCCCCAAACCTAAAATATCTGAGGGCACGGGGGTGGGTTTAAAACACATCTCCTCTCACAAATGGCAACCCGCCATGTTGGGCATTGTTTCCTATGGGCGTCCGGAGTGGTGCCGGTCTAGCAGTTGGCTTCTCTATGGAGCAACAGCCCCCCTCTAAAATGTGCTCAGGCTGTTAAGAGGGCGGGGTGTTTGTGTGTGTATCGCGCGCGGAGGATTCCATTTTATACCGGAAGTGACGCAGTAGGGCTGATTTCCCCCCCCCCGCTTTCTTCCGGATTGCGCCTAAGTGTTTTTGAGTTTTGTTGAGAGGTGGGTCCCTATCGCTCTAGGCGCAGCTACGTTGAAATCCCTTCGTAGTTTACACTGGGGAATAAAGCGGAAAACCAGTATAGTTTGACGTCGGATGTGATGTTAAGAGCTCCGTTGGCATCGCAGCCCTTCATGGTGTAACCACGGCTCCCCAGCCCGCCCATCTGCAGTGCGGGGATCAGAGCACTGGACTGCCTGGCAGTGCTCTTCTGAAACATCACCCACCCACCCAAGTACCCGCGATGCGAGGATAATATCATTGCAGGGCTGTTGTAAGCCTCACTTTCAGCCACTGGGAAGAACTGGGAATGTTATTGGAGGGTGGGGTGTAAATTCCTTAAATAAAATAATTTAAGGATGGAAGCATTGGGCTGCACTGCATTCTGAGCTTCTCAGCCACACACACTACTGCAATATAAAGATGACAACATTGCAGGGCAGATGTAAGCCACAGGCTCTAAAAGCCTAGGGTAACGGGGCAAACGGGGCCACATGGCTGTCACTTAGAGCCGCTCTCTCACACACATGCCCAAATGTTTAAAAAGGACAACCACAGGGCTACCTTGGAATCCCCTCATAAGAATATAAAAGTGGCCCATCTAGCCCATCATCCTGTTCTCACTGTGGCACTCTAGATACCTCTGGGAAGCCTCCAAGCAGGATCTGAATGCAACAGCAACTCTCCCCACTTCTGACTCCCAGCAAATGGTATTCAAAATCAGTGGCATACTTTCTACATGGTGGAGGCAGAACATAGCCATTGTAGCTGGTGGCTCAGCCAAAGCCACTGCCACCTCACCATCAATATAGGGATAATAACTACGGGCTGTATTTGCATTTGTGGCGCAGTGCTTAAAAAAACTAAAGTCATGTTTCATTCCTGCTACTACTCCCCCGCCCTTCTTTTGTATGAATGGTTGGTTGATTGAGTACTTGGTTTAGGTTTGGGGCTCCTCAGTGCCCTCCTCCGCCTTGAAATTGCCCCCTTGCTCTCAGCCTCTTGCATCGGGGGGTCCAGTTCCCTTTGTGGCCCAGAGAAAGATGGCAGATAGTGATCAAACCATTGCAGTTGCTTTTCCTTCTGCTCGCTCCTATTGCTTTGCTGCCCCTCACTGCCCCCACTTTGGAAGTGAATGGATGGCAATGGAAGCAGGAGCAGCAGGAACAGCATTGTCCCCTCCCCTCAGGCACTGGCAGGTGCTAGATGTTGCCAACTCCTGACTTCAGCCCTTGGGAAGGGTGTGCTGTTCCCCTATCACAACTGGGCTAAAATCCTGCATTTCTCTGTTCTTTCTGAAATAAAGCTGCTACTTTTATTTTGCAGGAAAAGGGGGAAATTTAGCATCAAAACTAACTGGCAAGTCTCATCTGACAAATGAATAAGCAGTCTACTGTTTTGTTCAGTCTGCGCTACAAGTGAGCAGAGCTAGCATACAGGTCCAAAGTGGCATTCCTCAGCTGCTTCTTTTTTTAAGTAAAAAGCTTGTATATAAGGAAACAAGCTGGAAAGCTTTGATTGGTCACAGAGGCCTGGTTTTTGGGGGGGCCGAGGGGGTGGTTTGCTAGATCAGAAATGGCAAGCTTAGGATCACACCTTTAAATTGTTTATGTACAGTACACAAATCATGCTGGAAAAATGGTTTTTGCTACTTTGGGCGCAGAATGAATTGAGTACACAGTACATCTGAAACTGGTTTTAAGCTCAGTATCCCAACAGTCTAGATTTCCCCAACACTGCCACTCAGGAAACTTGGTAACCCGTAGGTCAGAAAGTCTTTACATCAGATCTCAGATCAATTCCTGAAGATACCAGGGTGTTGTAGGCAAGCTGTCTCTCTCACTGCACTGACACTGTGACATACCCTATAAGTTTGTCATAAGTGTTTCAACCCAGCTAATGACACTGTTGTTGGAATGGAAACAACAGAGCAATCCTGTGTATTGAAGGCGATGGAAGCTGCCCCACATTATTTAACTTGTTTTCTTCTACATATATATTCTGTCATTTCTCCATCGTGGAACCTCAGGTGGCGTACAAGGGTTCCCCATCCAGGCAGGAACCAACCAACCAAAAGCTGCTTATTTTCTGCAAGGTGCCTCGTGCTTTTGGACAATACTTTTTATCATTGTACTTTTCGCATATCAAAAGAAGCTGCCTTTGGTTTTCCTTTCGGATTGAAAAGCAGGGCAGAAATTAATTCAAAATTTTAAAATAAATATACTTTTCAGACAAGCCTTTATAACATAAGGCTGATCTAATGCCCACTTACCTGGGAACAAGGCCCATTGAACCCAGTGGGACTTCTTTCTGGGAATACAGAAAGATTGTGCTTTAACAAGTAAAGAACTTATTTACGGGTAAGCCTGTGCGGAAGGATTGCAGCCTTATATCAATTTATCTATCTGTTAATGGCAGCTGTCTTGTACTCAAATGAATTTTTAAAATTGCTGCTATCATTTGATTGTTACATCATAGTTGTTGCCCTTTCTTTCTTTCTTTCTTTCTTTCTTTTTTCTTTCATCTTTGGGCAGCTATTTTATGAACAATTACTTGACAGTCATCCTCGTTGGACACAGTGGGACTCCCTTCTCAAGTAAGCATGATTAAGCCCCTTAAATGGCAAACTACTTCGAAGCGGGATAGCATGAGACTCTTAAGACCAGGGTCGTGGGTTGGAGCCCAACGCTGGGCAAAAAGATTCCTGCATTGCAGGGGGGTGGCCTAGATGACCCTCGGGGTCCCCATGCTCCTATGAAACGAGTCGTGCGTGCATGTGGCTCAGAAGCTCTCTCTCCGTCCCCCTTCGAGCTTCTACTTTGGGGGGGGGCGGAGGGAGTCTCCTGCTTACCTAACTTTGAACTCGAGTCTAGGGGGTGGAGGCCTTCCAGAAGTGGTTACCCCGCCCCGCTACTCCCCACCCCCCCTGACCATTGGCCCTGCTGGCCGGCGGGGTTGATGGGAGTTTGCAGGCAAACGACCTGTGCGGAGTCCCAGGTTCCCCCATCTCCGCCTTTGCGGGTGGGCTGGGGGCTCCCGCTTTGTGCGCTAGTTCCTTGACGTGGCAGGCAAGCCAGCCTTTGCTGCCCTTTTGCTCCGCGGGCACCGCAGGATGTGTGTCTACTGATGGTTTGTTTTTATGAATGGGGCCTCGCGCTCTCGGGGGAAGGAGCGCCCATTCATGCCTTTCCGCCTCGATCCAGGCGGCGTTAGGACCCGCGCGGCGGGCGGCGAGGAGGAGGAGGAGGCGGCGGAGGCTGCTTGGCCGGGTCGGGCGAGGCGGCTCCTTCCGAGGTGATCCTGATCCGGCTCTTCGCTCGCTGCAGGCCCGGCAGCAGGAGAAGGAGGAGGAAGGAGGAGAAGGAGGAAGAGGAGAGGAGATGCCGAGCAAGAAGAAGAAGTACAATGCGCGCTTTCCTCCGGTGAGATCCCCCGCGGCTGCCCTCCCCTCGCCTGCCTTACCCCGGGGTAGAGCTTGCACCAAAGCCCGGCCCGCAGCAGCGGAGCCCCTCTTGCCCCGGAGGAAGGGAGCAAAAAGTGCCCGGGCTGCTTCTCGGACTGCCACCCTCCTCCCCACCCCACCCCGGCCGCTGCAGAATCCCCAGAGAGTTTGAGGCTGCGATCTTAAGCCCGCTGAAGCTGGGGAGGGGGGACCCCATTGATACTGCTGAGTAGACACGGCTAGGGTGGCTGCCTAAATAAATTAATCAAGGCGGCAAATGAATTACTTCCCTTTTACTTGCCCCCCCGTACCTCCCATATGCTTCAAGCAAGATGTGGAAAGGGGGGGGGGTGAGAGAAAAGAAAGCAGGTAATACAGACCCCTCCCTAAAAGACACTCGTGCCTGCTTGCCTATAGAAGTCTTGAGAACCCCTTATTTTTGCTGTTTATTAGAACAGACCTGGTATGGGGAAGCTTTGGCCTTCCAGATGTTGCTGAACTACAACTCCCATCACCCCCTGGCCATTGGCTGCTGGGAGTCATAATTCTGCAACATCTGGAAGGCCAAAAGTTCCCCACTCCTGGAATAGACACACAAGCCTGCCTCCCCCACCCCCACTGCCTTCCTGCCCCAGGGAATAAAATGTCACCCCGAACACACAGGCAACTGATCCCTCCGCACAGAAGAGAAAACCCATAGGAGAGGTTTTCTGCTTTAGCAATTCAGTGAGTGTAGCCCGTTTTCCAATAAAATACAAAACAAAATCCTCCTTCGAATAAGCTTGATGCACCTCCAGATGTTGCTTGATTGCAGTTCTCATCGGCCAGAGCCAGCGTGGTCCCTTGTCACTTGTCAGGGATGACAGAAGGTGTTGTGCAACAATAACTGAACAGGAACTGGTTCCCTGACCTGATAGACAAGCCCCCTCGCCAATGGAAATTGGCCTTTGTAGCCCCTGTGGAAGATGTGCCCTCTGCTCTCTGTGGCCTTTGCCAGATACAATCTGGCTCCTGAGGAATCCATGACCCTCCAGAAGTCTTGGGACTACAACTCCCATCATCCCTGAACATTGACCATGTTGGCTGGGGCTGATGGGAGTTGGAGTCTGCCCACATCTACATGGCCACTAGTTCCAGAACTGTTGTTGGACTGCAGCCCCCATTGGCCCCTGCCAGCATGGTCAGTGGTCCAGCAACACCTGGAGGGAAGCAGGTTTCCTTCTCCTGGCATGGAATAGGTCTGAGTTTATTTCCTCTGCTATTTGCTAAAGTTGATTGTTGGGTCCTGGGCCAACCTGAGGTCTTCTAGTAAGGCTACTTGGTGGGTGCCTCTTTTGTAGAAGGGCTTTCTGAAGAGGGGGTGCATTTTCTTTTCTCTGTCCAAAGTGCTGCTGCTGGACAATTTTGGTGGAAAACCTGGGTTCCTGTGTTTGGAGCAAGACAGATTATTTTTGTCTCTTTGCACCTTTCATCATTTTATAAAACCTCTTATCCTTCCTTCCTTCCTTCCTTCCTTCCTTCCTTCCTTCCTTCCTTCCTTCCTTCTTTCCTTGGTCCCAAAAACCTTTTTGTGATTGAGTGATCAAGAGACTGCTGATCACCCACATGTATTCCAAGCATGGATGGACTCATGGTACATTTGTATAGGACATTATTACAACATTGGCTGTTTTATCTTTTCACTGCCTTTTGGGACAGTGTTGTTGTTGTTGTTATTATTATTATTATTATTATTATTATTGGCATTTCACAACTTAAAATTGCAATATAAAAAACACAAAATACATAATAAGAACATGAATATGATTATGTATTTTACTTTTAATTTTTACTTTATTCTGCTTTGTCATTTGAAAAACAATTTGGTTTAATTTTCCTAGCTGAATGTAAGATTTTATATTTCAATTATTTTTTTTAATTAAATTAAAATTTTAAAAATCTGGAGGGACACATGTGAGCCTCTCCTGGAACATGTCCTGCTATCCTTTGACTTGTACAAGCATGAGAGTTGTAAAACCCATGAGATTTACTTCGGAGCACAAATGCATAGGATTGGGCTTTCCTTAGGGTTGAGAAGCGCGTGACTTTGCAGGTGTTGGTAAATTCCAACCCCCATCAATCCTCTTCCTCTGTCTGAAATTTCAGGCCGGCCAGCGTCTTTCCCATCAATTGCTGCCTGATCCTTTTTAACTGGAGGTTATGGGGTTTACCGGGAGATCTGGGACCTTCTTCATGTAAAGCATGTGTTCTTACACCCTAAAACAGAACAAGACTCTTGCCCTCATGATTCTGGATAAACAGCTAATTCACATAGGAAACTGCCTTAGACATGCACACTTCAGCTTATGCCCAGAACAAACTTAGTTGGTCTCTTAGGTGCTATTGGACAATTTTTTAATTTTTTAATTTATTTCGACTGCGTCAGACCAACACGGCTACCTGCCTGAATCTGCCTTGGACAGAGCCAGACCACTAGTTCACCTAGCCCAATATAAACCAGAGATGGGGAGCCTCATGCTGGGGAGCAGATGGGGCTCTCTAAGATGTTCAGCTGGGACCTTGGGACTCTCAGTTGACAGTATCTGCTCCCCAGGCCACACCCCATACTGGCCTTCCTCCCTGCCTTCCCTGAGTGTTTTGTCTTGGCTCGGCTGAGAAATGTCCTTGACTGAGATAAGGCCTCTTCCTAGCCTGGGTGGAGGGTGCGGAATGCAGCCTGCTCCACAAAGGCAGGAGTTCTATCTGCTTTTTGCCTCTGGTCCTCCCCCTTCCAGAAACTTGTCCACAAGGGATTCTGGCCTTCTGCCTAAAAAGCATTCCTCACTCCTGGTCTACACTGATCTGGAGATGCTGAAGAGTTTGCATGCAAATCCTGTGTTCTGGCGCTGAACTATGGGTCTCTCCACCCAACCCCCGTGAAGCTAGGCTGGGCATTTCCACTTCAAGCATCGCAATGCCCCAGGTGCCCCACTCTCTTGCCCTGCAGTGGATCCTAGCCTTTCTTGACTCTGGCAGACAAGGGTGCCTGAGGGCTGTCCTTCAGCAAGCCCAGCAGCACAGTCCTTCCTGCCAACCCATGGGACAACCTGGGTGCGATGCTGAAAAGCTAGCTTCCCGAGAGCAGTGTGTCTTTTTACCCAAGTTGGTTGTTCGCTGGCAGCTCCCTGCTGCACCCCAGGTGCCAAGGCAGAGTTCAGGGGAAGGCTTTAGTGCAGGGCTGGGGAAATCCATGGCCGCCCCAGCTCCCATCAGTCTAGAGGGCAATAGGTTCCCCTTCCCTGGTTTAGTGCTTAGGAGAGATGCTGAGCCTTGGTCACCCAGTCCAAGTCACTTAATAGTTATCTGGGGGGCGGGGATGCACTCTGCATGTGCTTAGAGGAGCCCTTGGAGGTTTTGTTGTTGTTTTTTTACTCTGTGGGCTACAGAGTTGGACCATTGGGCTTCCAAAATAGATGATCCCCTGGGCTGAGGTTGAGTTCCAGGATTACGGTACCTCTTCAATTTCTAAAGTGTTTCCTAGTGTCTGCTTCTAGGGCCACCCAATGAGTGGTTGTTCCACCTAAGCAGAAAGCCTCCAGTTCAAACGTCACCTCTGCAGTGATTATAACCAGCACTTTGAACTAGATTTGGGAGCTAGCTGGCAAACCGGTGGCACTGATGCCCTCTGTCGTTTACCCCTGTTGGGAAGTGAGGCACCACTACTGTGGCCATGCACACACACCACATTTGAAGCACATGGCTTCCTCCAAGGAATCCTGGGAACTATAGATTACTCTAAACTCAGCTACAGTTCCCAGAACCCTTAATAAATTACAGATACTTTTTTTTGGGGGGGGTCATGTGCTTTAAATGGATGGCATGCACACAGCCCCATTCCCTTGTTAATAGGGGTGAAGTACAGTGTGTCAAATTTGGTCTCCCAGCTAGTTTCCAAGGCGCCAGTTCAAGGCCCTGGTTATTATCGAGTGGTTGGAGGTGGGGGTTGTATTCTGTGATTCCACAGGCGTGTAAAATGTGGTGACTACCAGGGATGTGATTCAGCTTTGTGACCAGCTAAGTTGAATTTTTTCAAACTCAGGAAACAAAATTTCTAGATCTTACAGGCTGTTTGGCTAAGTCCAGCTGAAATCTGAGAAGCCAGTGTTCCGTTTTAATACCCTCTTCCATTCTCCGTTTTTTGTTTTTAAAAAGGCTCGAATCAAGAAGATAATGCAGACTGACGAGGAGATTGGCAAGGTGGCGGCGGCTGTTCCTGTGATTATCTGTATCCTTTTCGTCACATTGCCTGGATCTGCCCGCCCCCTAAGCCTTGGGGAGAAGTGCAAGGAGGCCAAGTGGGGGACTGTGTCTTGCCCCAAGGAGATGGCTTGAGGAACCTGTAGGAATTCGATTCCGACCAAACTAAGCCTCCTACATATATTTTGCTCTAGGAGGCATAGTTTGGTCAGAATAGTGCATGGGTAGGCAAACTAAGGCCCTGGGGCTTGATCCGGCCCAATCACCTTCTAAATCTGGTCCGGGAATCAGTGTGTTTTTACATGGGTAGAATGTGTCCTTTTATTTAAAATGCATCTCTGGGTTATTTGTGGGGCATAGGAATTCGTTCATATTTTTTTTTCTTCAAAATATAGTCCGGCCCCCTGCTGAAAAAGTTTGCTGACCCCTGGAATAGTGAATACACTTCCAGAGCTAACACTGAATAAATTACTTCTGGTAAATGAGCCACCGTTGCCACTAGAGGACTGTGAAAATTTGCGTCCCAGGCATTTTAGACTCGTCTACTCATGTACTATCTAAAACCAAAGGGGCGTATTGGATGCAATATGTGATTTTTTTCCCCAGCAGGGACCTGCTGCTAGTCAGCCCCAGGCAGGATGGCCCGTGCTCAGGGATGAGGATGAAGCTGTTGTCCCACTATATTTGGGGGGCCTGACAAGTTCCCTAGGACTGGATGGACAAATCTGACCTCAGGCAGCCTCCTGTGTGAGGCTTTGCACTCTTTGCACATTGTCAGGGGGTTGGGGGGGTGGCTCCCTTCACAGCATCCCTTAACTGTAGGTCTCCCCAAGCTCGGGCGCTGGAGCTCTTTCTAGAATCGCTACTGAAGAAGGCCTGTCACGTGACGCAGTCCAGGAACGCCAAGACCATGACCACATCGCACTTGTGAGTACCGGCTGCACTTCAAGGTGCAGGGGCAGAGCCAGTCATGAAAGGGTGGCGGGTGGAGGCAGAGTTGGTGCAATCAGCTGGCAATTACTGACATCGTCTCTCCTTGGTTTTTAATCCCGTTTTGGAAACGTGTATATTCCTTGTGGCAAGGAGTTCCCCAGTTCAGCTTTCCTCAAAGTAAGCACAGGGATTGGCTGTGGAAGTATTGCAGTTCAGCCTCCCCGTATCAGGCAGAATTTGTTGAGCTTCAAGTGCTTTGGCTTGAAGTGCAGAAAGTGTTTTTATTTTAAACTGTTCATTTCCCCCAACCATGCCTCTCAAAAGTATTTTTTACTTACTTACCTCCTGTTATTTCGTCTTTTTCTTTCATACATGTATCTAATTCCCCCCTCCAAACTTCCCAGTTTCTCTCATTCCTTCTGCCCACTCCTTTTACACTCACTTCTTCCTTCTGCAGCAGCTTTAGACTGTTATCATATTCCTTTTTGTTTCATTTACTTTAAAAAAATTAACTTACTTTCTTTCTGATTTCCTTCAGTACCTCCTCTGGCTTCTTCCTTTCAGAGAAGTGAGACCTTCCTTCCTTCCCTCCCCTGCCTCTTTCTCTTTCTCTTTTATTTCTCTTTCCCACCCACCTTTACCAAGCATACAGGTTTGCTGGCATTGCTCCTCCCAAAAGTCAGAGGCCACAATGGAAGATTGAGGAAGCACTGTGTGAGCTGTGGCCCTGAAGCACCCTTGAAAGTAGACTTAAGACCCACTGGTGGTCCCTGGCCCATTGGAGAAACATCAACAGTCCCACGAAGTTGAAGGCAGCTAGCTGCCTGCCTTCACAAATCTAGTAGCCTTTATTTGAAACCATGAGGGCTAGAAACTTGTCTCCCCGTCCCCCTGATTTTAAACAGAAGTTCTGTCACTGCATCAGCTGTGTCTGGATTTCCCATCTAAGCCTGTCATCTGGTTTTGCAGGAAACAATGCATAGAGCTGGAGCAACAGTTTGACTTCCTGAAGGACCTTGTTGCCTCCGTGCCAGATATGCAAGGAGACGCGGAGGATAACCTCATGGAGGGGGAGAAAGTTTCCAGGAGGTAGGAAGGGAGCGGGAAGCCCCCGTAGCATAAAGTCCCAGGTTCGATCCCCGATTGCATCTCTCCGCTTTCCCCAAAATGGCCATTTGGCAGGAGATGGCTAAGATCCTTCTCAGCCTCAGACCCTGGACAGCCTCTGCAAGACAGAGTAGACAGTACGGGGCTAGATGGATGAATAATCTGATCTGACCTAAGATGACCTCCTTCATAATGGGTGGGATGGGAGACACTGGAGGAAGTTCTGTCCCTCTCCCCTAATCTGATCTTTGCTAAAGGGGGGAGATGGGGAGGTTTTCCCATAATATGAATACTTGCTTGCTTCTGCTTCAGGAACCTTTGCAACCATCCTGCAAGTTGGCTAGTATTGTCCTTGTTAAATTGTGAGTGGGAGGCTGAGGATGGGGAATCGGAGGCCCTCCAGATATTGTTGAGCTCAAACTCCCATCAACCCCCCAACCAGGGATGGCGGGAGATTAAGTAAACACACCTCCAGAGGACTGCAGCTTCCCCAGCCTTGTCAAGAGACCAGTCTGGCTGAGCTAAGACTAGAACCAGGAATTTCAGCTCTCAGTGGCTACACATGACATGTGTTGGGCCATAGCCAAGTGGCAGAGCATCAGTTTCTGAGCCGCTGTTTGTGTCTGCCTGGTGAAAGTGGAGACTTTTCCTGGGGAGGCTTGCTTTAGGTGTTTTTAATTACATGAATCACTCCCCCAGCAAAAATCCCTGAAGCAATTTACAGGACGAGTGAGGTGCAGTAATGAATAAAAATGCATCATTATATTCAAAATGTAGTCAAAGCAAAAAACAACACATCCCATCATTGGTGCTGCCCAAATGACCAGGAAAACAAAAATGTCTTGGCCTGGCAAGGTTGGTGCCAGGCAGACCTCCTTGGGGAGAGCTTGCTAGAGGTGTGGAGCTACCACAGAAAAGGCCCCTTTCTCTTCTCGCCACTCTCTGGAACTCCTTTAAAGGTGGGATGCAGAGAAGGGCAATGGGGGACACGATCTCAGGGTTCAGGAGGTTTATATAGTGGAAGGCAGCCTTTAGAGATAGGGGTCTTGAGCTTTGCAAGGCGGTAAAGGTCAAAGCTGAGGGATGCGGGTGGTGCTGTGGGTAAAACCTCAGCGCCTAGGACTTGCTGATCGCATGGTCGGCGGTTCGTATCCCCGTGGCGGGGTGCGCTCCTGTCGTTCGGTCCCAGCGCCTGCCAACCTAGCAGTTCGAAAGCACCCCCAGGTGCAAGTAGGTAAATAGGGACCGCTTACCAGCGGGAAGGTAAACGGTGTTTCCGTGTGCGGCGGTGGTGCTGGCTTGCCAGATGCAACTACGTCACGCTGGCCACGTGACCCGGAAGTGTCTGCGGACAGCGCTGGCTCCCGGCCTGTAGAGTGAGATGAGCGCACAACCCTAGAGTCTGTCCAGACTGGCCCCTAAGGCAGGGGTACCTTTACCTTTAATAAAGGTCAAAGCCAGCAATTGAGCCCCGGTTTCCAAATGGTCTTCAGGGGCAGCCCCATGAACAACGCATTGCATAGCCTAACCTGGAGGCCTCTTCCGCACACCTGTCTCCACTTTCTTTTCCTCTCTGGTTCAGGGGCCGGAAACCTGGCACTGGGCGAAAGAACGGCGGCCCAGGCAAAGGACGGGATCCGAAGCAGTCGGGCACAGACTCGGAGCAAGAGGTGGGCTGGCGTGGTTTTGAGTGTCTTCAGAAACCGAAACCCTCTTCTAATTGCAGTCCAGAAACACTTTTTAAAAAGTTAATTAACCATCTGACCCTGTTTTTCCTCCTCCTTCCTCTTTCGTTTCTCATCCCGCCTCCCTCCCTCCTTTAAATGAAATCCTGAAGAACCACAGAAAAATGCGGGCCGTATGGGCGCCCGCAGGATTTTTTCCGGGTGGAGTAAACCACAGAGAGGACAAAGCAGGTCCTCCAGGGAGGGGGATCAACTGTATCGTCACCCCCCTTGGTGGATGCCCATGTACAGTCTCTTGACCCACTTTCGGTTTCTGTTTGTGTGAACAGAAACCCAAAGCGGCTGCTGTTCATCTTCCTTCCCCCTGGTGGTTTTGCTTGGGAAAACCACCCTCTTGCTTCGGCCCCTTCCCTTTCTGCCATCTTTCCCTATAGATGGTTAACTTCTTTGGAGCCACCCTTGCCTCATCTCAGCAGTGATTCTTCACAGGGGGGGTGAAGCTGTGGCCTCCCCCCGCTTGCCACTGTGCTCACGGCCCGTATACTTCCCCTCTGGGCCTGCCAGGCCGCACTGCCCAGGAGGCGGCAGCAAGGCAGGCAGGCAGGCAGGGGCTGTTGTGCTGAGGCCTCCCTGCTCACTCACACTTGGGATGGGCAGCTGAGCAGGCCACAACCGCAAGGAGCGAGCTGAGCATAGCCAGGGGGCTCAGTGGGTGGGCAGTGAGGCCTTGGCAAGTGCCCCACAATGCCATGCCCCGATTCCAGCCCAACTTCATCGGACATACACAGTTTACTCCTCAATATTCCACCCTCTTTTCTTATGTTGTTTTAGACTGTCCAGCCTCCAAGCAGTGGGCTGAGGCAGTGATGTTGGTTGTATCCCAGGAGTGGGGAGCCTTTTTTCAGCCTAAGGGCCGCATTCCTTTCTAGGCAGCCTCCCCAGGGCCACATCCAGCAATGGAGGTGAATCTTCCCTTTGTACAGTAGGCTAGTTTGCCTGCGCACATACAAACCCCTCTCCCCTCCTTCCAAGCAAGCAAGAGGCATCTGAGTGTGGCGGGGGGGGGGGGAGAGAAGGGGCCTGAGGGCTGGATGGAGAGGCTTAGGGGGGGCCACGCTTGGCCCACAAGTCTCAGGTTCCCCGCTCCTGTTGTGTTCAGTGCACTGTCCTTGCACAGCAGTGTGAATCGGGTCTGCTGGGCTGGAAGCAGCCCAGGAAACCCATTTCAGCTGCCTGCCTAGAAGGGCAAAAGATGTGGCTGCAGGATCCAACTAGCTTGGTTGCTTCGAGTAAATGATAGGCTGGCATCAAGAGCATAGCATCGTTCCACGGTGACCCTTTTTTTCTCCGGCCTGTGCAGGACGACTCTGAAGACAGCGAGAGCAACGGGGATGAGGAAGTGTCCCACATTGCCCCTCCTCCTGTGCGACCTGCCACACATCTCTCCACGTAATGTTTTCAGCGTGCTCCTGCTTATTGCATTTGGCCAGCAGTGTGCCAGGAATTGTGGTTGGGAGCTCTGCCCTTTTAGCCGTCAAGCTGGGATTCAAGTGCTGTTGTCGGCTGCCTCAAAACTGTTGACGTCTGTGTGCTTTGGGGGCAGGGACCGGACGCCACTTTGCTATGGCCCCTTTCAGTCCTGGCACCAGCCTTGGCTTAAAGTCTAGGCTGCTGTTATTTGTTCTCCTCACCAAAGAAACCCTGATCTGTTTCTGAGCCTAGAGGGGACAGGGACGACTTGCAGCCTTCCAGATATTCCTGGGCTCCCGACTCCCATCAGTCCTAACAAGCATGGCAAATGGTTGTGAGTGCTGGGAGTTGTAGTCCAACAGCGCCTGGAGGGCCACAGGCACACACCCACACACCCCAGGCCTGGAAAACAGCTTCATCACCCCCAAGCTATAGAAAAAGTGCCTTGGCCTGCACACTAATCCGACCCCCCTTTTTCTTCCCCTGCAGTGCTCCAACACCGTATCTACATTTCACTTCCCCGCCGGTTCCCGCAATACCTCTGCCTGTCACTGCACCAATGGGGACGGTGCCAGTTGCGCCCCCACCTGCACCGCTTGCGCCAGCCCAGGAAGACGAGGAGGATTATGACTCCTAGCCCTAGTTCTGGTTTTTTGCTGTTGCCACTTTGGGGAGGGGTGGGGGGGGAGGGGAGGGACAGAACAGGGTTTGAACGGGGCTGTTCTTAAATTTATTAAAAAACATGAAACTGTGGCAGGATGCGTGTGTGTTTTTGTTGTTGTTGTTCTGCCGGCTTTTGCCCCCAGCCCCTCTTGCTACTTTGCTCCCTCCCCAGTGCTGAGATAAGCATCAGTGGTCCTTCACTCCCTGGTGCTCCAACACCATCTCATGCCTCCAGTTGCCACCACCAGCTATTTAGCTGATTGTTCTTGTTGCTAAACAGAAAACCAGAGACATGGACAGTTTTGAAAAGCAGATCCGTTTTTTAAAAAAATCAAGCTTATTCCTCCCTCCCCCAAAAAATAATAATACCAAAACAAAATACCAAAAGAATTAGGAGGGTGACTTCTTGCACCTTCTCCTGAAGTTGATACAAAGAACAAAATTGGGGGTGGGGGGGAGGCCAGTATGGAGTGGACCCATCCATTCATCCTCACACCAAAAACAATCTTGTCTTCTGCTCAACCAATGGCTTCAAGTTACAAGGAAGAAGATTCCGACTCAAGACCAGGAGGAGATTTCTGACAATAAGAGCTGTTTTGACAGTGGAACGGACACCCTCGGGAGGTGGTGGACTTTCCTTCCTCGGAGGTTTTTAAGCAGAGGTTAGGTGGCCATCTGTCAGGGATGCTTTAGCTGAGATTCCTGCATTGCAGGGAGTTGGACTAGATGACCCCAGGGGTCCCTTCCAACTCTACTATTCTATGATTCTATGAGTGTGCAAAGTGGGGGGGACACTCTGTCTCCTCCTGGCAAAGAGAGAGAGGAGACCTTTCTGGTTGGGGGCAGGGAACAGGCAGATAATGCCCAACTGCCTGGGCATTTATAAGCTGGCAAGCAAGTTTTAGTTGTCCTATAACTACAACAGGGGGTCCCAACCCCAAGTGAACCATCGCCTCCTACCCCACTTTTAGGAAACAAATATTTGGGACTGCCAGAGGAGAAAGAGAAGGGCAGGATATGGCAGTGATGGGGAATAATACTTTGGGATAAAATTGGCAGCTTCCTTTATTTCACTCCCCTCCCTCCTTCCCCAAATTTGGTGGAGCAACTATGCCTTCCATAGGAGCACGAAGGCCATAAACTGAACAGGAGCTCCTTCCCCGCCCCAAAGCCCATGGAATTTTAAAAAAACCAAAACAAGTGAATTTCTTAAGGGGAGCTCTCAATCGTCCCTTTGCAAGTGGAGCTTGCTGTCAGCAGCAACAGTCATCTGATTGATGCTGGCAGTGAGCCAAGCACACACAGCACCTTGCAGACTCTGGCAACCAGCTGATTGGCGCCTGCAAAGTGTGGGGTCTTTGCCAGCAGTTTTGATTTCAACTCGTATGGGCAAAGGAAAATGGGTGGTGTGATGTTGGGGCCCCAGAGAAGAAAGAAGGATCCAACACACCAATGTATTAGAGCAGGCATGGCCAAACTTGGCCCTCCAGCTGTTTTGAGACTACAATACCCATAATCCCTGACCACTGGTCCTGTTAGATAGGGATGATGGGAGTTGTAGTCCCAAAACAGCAGGCGGGCCAAGTTTGGCCATGCCTGTATTAGAGGATGCTAGCTCAACCAGCAAACAGCAAAGCTGCTTTGCAGGCCAGCAATGGGAGACCCTTACCCAGCACCCTCATGGCACCATATTGAATACTGATCTATTGCTGTCTCTGCCCCCCTGCCCTCGCTTGATCTACCCTCACCAATGAAAGGAGTGTTGCTGAACCTGGAAACAAGTCAGAAACAATTGTGGTGTGCATGTTCCATCACTGAAGCCTACAACACGTGTGTGTGTGTGTGTGTGTGTGTGTGTGTGTGTGTGAGAGAGAGAGAGAGGGGGGGGGGTGTCACCGCCCTTACACAATCCTAAAATCGTAGCCACTTGAAAGAGTAGTCTTTAGAAAACTCAGAATACACAAGTAAAATAGATTTCTCCTTATAATTATTCTCTGGCTTGGTAATGAAGCCAAAGCTGTGCAGTTCAGCCACACTTGAGGGAAGACGACAGCATGGGAAAGGAATGAGATGTGAGATGTTTGCAGGGAGCAGAGGGAAAGCGAAGACTTAGGCCAGCAGTCCAGTGCTGCCGCCCCCACCCTCCCAAACTCTCCCTGATCCCATGCTTAAGCATATGATCTCACAGCCATGAGGTCTGGACACTTGCTTCCTTTCCATTAAAGCGAAAGAAGGGAGGATAGGAATGGATGGATTTCCCTGAGCAAACATTTGCAGCATGTGCTGCACAGGAGATAATGTGGAGTGTGAAACTTGCAAGAGGTGGAGAATACTGACCTTTGGCCCCTAAACATGTGCCTCCCCCACCCCAGTGTGGGTGGGGAGAAGCTCTTTCCTGTGTGATGGGGCTTGCTCCTGTAAGCTCCATGAGGACAATGAACTTGGGAAAGCAAGGAAGACAATAACTAGATGCTTGGAATGCTTCTCCCATTTTCCCCCAAACGGGATATTTGTTTTAAAAAAGATATTTCACTGACCCACCCACATCCTGCACAGTGGTGGCTCAACAGAATAAGAAATTGGGCTGGAATGCATCAGGGCAAGGGAAATGGAAAGAGGGGTGGTCCTATCGCACAGTCACCCCCAACTTCTCCAAGATGCGGACCCCCTTCTCGAGATATTCAGACCGTTGCAGCCAAAAGGTATCCTTGTCTTTCATGATGTCTGCGAGCACTGCCCCTCCCAAGAAGACCATGTGCTTCCGGCGGGGAGGGTCCTCAATGCGAATCTTGAATTTCTGGAAGAGAGAGAGAAAAAAAGGGGGGGTTAAAAGAAAGCAAACAGCAAGGAACCTGCCACCTCCACTCACTGTTGTGTCTCTCCCCAGTTTGACTAGATCCCTCCTCCCCTCGGAGAGGCCACTAGGGGGCAGCAGCTCCACGCCCCATTACAGCACCCCCAAACAACCCCCCAACTCACCGATAACTTTTCCACATCCCCCTTCAGCACCCGTTCCAGGTACAGCTGTTTGATCTCACGCTCCAGGCGGGAAGGCAGTCCTGGGTACATGGTAGAACCCCCAGAAAGCACAATGTGTTTGTAAAACTCAGCCCTATGATAATATAAAAAGGGGGGGGGGTTAGAGGAGAACCGTAATGCTTTTATATCTAGGAAGAGGGGAGAAAGAGACAGTCACAGCCGGCCGGGTCCCCACTGAAATTTCTCACTAGAGCAAGCTGGTGATTGAGGAAAGCCGCCTCTGCCCATCTGTCATAGAGAGAACAAGTGGGGACCTGCAGCAAAATGTTGCAGTGCAGAGTGCTCCTCTTCACTGAGACCAATTTACAGCCATGCCCTTTCTCAGGAGATTCCATTCCTTCCCCCCTCCCTGTTTTCTTTGCCAAATGACTCAAATTCCTGTTCAAGGTTGCATATCCTTTCCCACCATACAATCAGTCAGTATTCTGTCCCTACTAAACATGCTTAAGTCCTTCATGGGGCTATTAGGAGTTCTCCCACCCACACCTTTAAGGCCTTTGTCCAAAAGGGTCCCCCCCCCCCGCCCTTTGTACTTCTGAATTTCTTAGGATTTTCCCAAACAGATACCTCCCCCCAGGTGCATGCATGGGACTGTTTTGTCTACCACATGCAACGACATGTACAGTCTGAACATCAGGAGAAGTTGTTGTTGGCAGCTGTCTGTCTCGAGACAACGGAGTGCGCCTCCGGGGGTGAAGTCAAACCACTGCATTAGCAGCACCACAGTGACCTCCCCGGGGCACAAAGCTTGGGCAATGTGTATGGAGGTCCTGAGCTGTCCAGGCAACAAGGCCCCCTTCTCAGCCTCTCTGATGTGGTCCAAAGGAAGTAAAGCAAGATGTTTGGCCCCAGCCTGGCTGTGGGAGTTGCCGGAAGGAGACATACAAGGCGCCATCCGACCGTCTTAGGGACTCCACTCTGGATTTGTGTAGGATTTACTCTTTAGCCTTTTCTTCTCCAGAAGAAGAAGAGGTGGAGTTTGGATTTGATATCCCGCTTTATCACTACCCGAAGGAGTCTCAAAGCGGCTAACAATCTCCTTTCCCTTCCTCCCCCACAACAAACACTCTGTGAGGTGAGTGGGGCTGAGAGACTTCAGAGAAGTGTGACTGGCCCAAGGTCACCCAGCAGCTGCATGTGGAGGAGCAGGGAAGCGAACCCGGTTCACCAGATTACGAGTCCACCGCTCTTAACCACTACACCACACTGAGGGACCAGAAGAGGTCCCTCAAGAGAGTGGAGCCTTAGGATCAGAGTTTTCCTTCTCTTAGATGGGCTACCTTCCCAGGCTGACAAGCCCCATCACCCACATTCGGGTCAATTCAGAAACATATTCCTAAAGTCTGTCCCACGTTAACCTCTAGAGATGCCCCCCACATCCTCCTGGGCAACACCCCCCTCACCGGGTGTCAATATCCGCTGCCTGGATGGTGTTGAAGAGGAGCTCAGCCACACCAACTCCTTCCACGTTGATGAGATGGGGCTGGAACAGGGCCTCAGGGGCCTCAAAGCGCTCGCCCCCGACTTTGATCACCCGTCCATCTGGAAGCTGTAGGGGCGAAACAAGAAAGGGTGACACTAGTAGGCTGTGGGGCATGCCCCACTCCTCTGCCTTCCAGCCAGGGGAAGAAAGAGGCATGAGCAGAGACCAAAGACACATTCCAGCCAGGCAAATACATTCATGGAGGGAAGAGTCTTCAGGACCAGATGGAGGAGCCTGAAACGCCACATTCACCCCCACTTCCACTCCTGATCTAATTTACGGCCCCTGCCACAATCACTTTGCAAACATGAGCTTCCCCTTTCTCTGCTCCTCGTTCCATTCATTCGACCTGTAAGGGCACTGAAATCACCTGGGGAAATTTTCCTCACGGACAACAGGGCAGTGACTTGAGAACGGGAATTTCCCACCCCTGGTTACATGAACAAGCTTCCTGTAAAAAACACATCCTTTAGCCTGGGCTTTCCCTGATTCCTAAGATTGCACTTTGTGATTCCTGAATTCCTGCTTTTGTAATACTGTTTTGACTGGGTTTTATACTGTAAATTTT